AACTATTCCACTTACTGACTACTCTGTGGCTGAAGAAATCACTCTTCCTAAACATCCCTTGTGATTCATCTGCGATCTTCAACTTATGTGTGATGTGTGTGGTGTTGTGTGTGTGTAGTGTACTCACCTAGTGTACTCACCTAGTTGAGGTTGCACGGGGTGAGTCCCCGAGCTCTGGCCCCGCTCTTCACTGATCGTACTAGGTCATCTCCCGAACCGTGAGCTTTATCATAACCTCTGCCTTAAAGGTCATGTATGATCTCAGCTCCGCTACATCGCTTCCCAAACTATTCCACTTACTGACTATCTCTCGATGGGCTGAAGAAATACTCCTACATCCTGTGATTCATCTGTGACCTTCATACTTCCAACTGTTAGTCCCTAGTTTACTGTGTTTCCAATCTCTGGAAACATCCTGTCATTGTCCACATTGTCAATTCCTCTCACGTATTTTGTAGTAAGTCGTTTCATTGTCCAACTATCTTGTCCTGTCCTCCAGTGTCGTCAGGTTGTTTTCCCTTTAACCTCTCCTCGTTAGGACATACCTCTTCTTGCTTGGACTAGATTTGTTGCAAACCTTTGCATTTCTATAGTTTCTTACGTGCATGGGCTAAGATATGGGAGGGGTGTTCCAAATGGTGCCGCATACTCCAATATGGCAATAACGTTACCGGTGTACAGGGTCCTGAACGATTATATGTGTATTTAGGTGTCGGAAAGCGGTTCTGTGGTTTGCTTAGGCGCCCATATGTTGGTGCTGCAGTTATTGTTTGATGTGCGCCTTCAGGAGCTTGTGCCCTGCGTGTTATACTCAACCCAAGATCTTTTTCCTTGAGTGAGGTTTGTAGTCTATGGCCCCCCTACACTGGTACTCCGTCTGCGGTCTTCGATCACGGTGCAAATTCTTTCTTCAAACTGCACCAGTCTATCTGCAATCAGCGGACACCTCCAGAGTCTATTCTTCCGTCATGTCGTTCGCTAATACCAAGAAACAGCACTGGTCCTAGGACTGACCCTGTGGGATCCGTGGTCACAGGTTGCCCACTTGACACCTTCGCACGTACCATGACTCGCTGCTTGTTCTTCCTGACAAGTATTCTCTGTCTATTTTGTGCATTCTGTTATCCCTGCCTTGGTCCTCCAGTTTTTGCACCAATCTCTTGTGTGGAACTGTGTCAAACGCCTTCTTGCAGTCCAAGAGAATATGCTACCACCCACCCCTCTGTCTCTTGTTTAATGGCTGTCACCCATGTCATAGAACTCAGTATGGTTGTGACACAGGGATTTCCCGTTCCTGAAACCTTTTGAGCAGCTGTTGATGGGATCATTCTTTCTGGTGTTCCTACCACTCTTCTCCTGATTAAAATTTCTCCATGATTTTGCATACTATACATGTCAGTGACACTGGTCTGTAGTTTAATGCTCATGTCTGTGCCTCCTTTTTTAAAGAGGATTGGGACTACATTTTGCTGTCTTCCATGCATCAGGCAATCTCTCTGTTTCGACTTTAGATGTATTGAATATTGTTGTTAGGGTACACATAGGCCTCTGCTCCCTCTCTCAATACCCATGGGGAGATGTTATTCGAGCCCATTTGCCTTGATGGTTATTAGCTCACTCAGAAGCCTCTTCACTTATTCCCTGGTTGTAGTGCACTGTTTCCAGCACTTTGGTGGAATGTGCCCATCCTATCCGTCTTTTCCGTCTTTTGTGTCTTGGTGTGAATGTGTGAGTGTGTGTGTTGAGTGTGTAGATGTGTGTGTGTGTGCGTGTGTGTGTGTGTAATCACCTAAATGTGGTCTTTTGCAGTGGGTCGGTCAGCTCTCAGGCCCCGCCTTTTCACTGGACGCTACTAGGTCACTCCCTTCATACTCCGTGAGTCTATTATCATACCTCTTCTTGTGTATATGTGTGTGTGGGTGGATGTGGTCTTGTAAAGACCTGACTGTTCCATAAATCTCTCTTCACTTTTTACCTCAGGTTATGTGCCTGTATGAAAACAGTATTTGGCGCAGCAAAGCAACGGCTTGCTGGTTACTAAGTTATTTTTCATTTTGTTGAATTCGCAGGACATCAAACGGAGAGATCAGTATATGACCTATGATGTAACTTGAACCGCTTCAATTCACGAGTTTCGGGTTGCCCTCTTGGTCTCGCTGCCTCCCTGGGCGACTGCTTGGCCACTGCTGTCAACAGGATGGTCGAGTACGTTACCTTGACAAGGAGGATCGCGAGGGCAGGAAGGAATATGACCCTGGTCCTCGAGGATCATTCAAGGTGGAGGGATGCCGGGGGTTTGGAGCTCGAATGGTGGCAGTGAATATTTAGTGTCAGGTGGGAAGCATGGGGAGATAATATGATGGCCCTTACCTTCGTACCTGTAATGTGTCTGGCTGTAGAAACAGAGAAGCAATCTACGCAGAACTATACGCGAGTATAGGGACTCTGTTACAGTTACAAAAACTATATCACCTTTAAGGTCCATTATTTATTGCTAGCTCTCCGTTCTAATGCTCTTCTATTACGGACAACTACCTAAGGCCCTCTCTGTCTTTCTGGGTCAAGTGATGGTAAGTAATTTGTTACTAAGACGATACAGATAAAGTCGATCTCTAGACTGAATGATGTACCTGCTGGGAGCTGGTAAGTAGAAGAATTGAGTAGGTAGACCATGGATACGGGAACACTTCACACGGATGAAAATGGATTTCCTTGCAGATGGGGTGAAATCTGACTCTATGATGACTTTGAAAGTACTTTATGGTGAACTTTGCAAGCAACATAGCGCGAAAAAGAAACTGCATCAATTAAACTTGCATTCTCTTACATGTTAGGTACGAGAAACTGCAAAAATTACTATATGGGCACGAGCCACTCTCAAAATAATTATTATTATCACTTCCTTTGATTCTTTACCTCTACATTACATCGCCTTGGAGCAAAGTAAACAAATTAGTGTAAGGCTTATAGAACCATGTCCGTCTGGCTGAGGCCTGTGATTTCAGTTAAAGCATTCAGCATCAGAAATATCGAGTGCTAGTGCGCTAAAAATCCCCTCCCAGCACAGGGCCCGTGTAATTATAGAAAACAGTAATATATTTGTAGGACAAATACAAGAATCAAATTAATGTGCAAAAAATAAAGTAGTTAGTTTAATTATGTTTATTATGCACCATACCCCATCCTGTGGGCGGGTAGTCAAACAGATCAGGAGGTAAATATTGGTCCAGGGGACAGGACGCCAAATTTTGATAGGCTGAGCAAATGTAGACAGAGGTAAATGAAACTCACAATTTACAAAGGTAAATGAAACTCCAGGTAGGTTCTGGTCACAGTCCTGACAAGTGACAAGGTTATTTACGATTACAGAGGTAAGTAAATTGGGTCCAGGGGATGGGCCCCCAAAGAGTTTTGATAGAACTGAAATAGGTACAAGTGGTAATGAACTCACAAGTTACAAGGTACTGAATATGTAAGAATGGTACCTTACGTTTTATACCCATGGCTACTAATCATGAACAAAGGGATTTTAGTGTAATGAGCAATTCACACTTCCGCACCCGGACGCACTGTAATGAGTTACTGGTTGCAATATTGATTGTTGATGTCACACAACCACACACACACACACACACACACACACACACACACCACACACACACAACACACACATGGTAATGCATTATTTACAGGCTAGCAAAGTCAGGGTATTTCTCCAGAATGGTCTGCCAATATACCACTGATAAAATATTGGCCATTTCTTGAAACATTTCTGAGTGAGTTGTTTCTAAATTCATTAATTTGTCCACTCCAGTACTTAATGACGCAAGGTGTGGACACATAGTCATCTGGCGAAGTTTACATTTCGTAATTGGTCTACATCTGGTGGTGAGTATTTAACCTGCAAAGATACTAGTACCCAGCGGCAGCCGGGAGTTAGTGACATCCAAGAGTCTGTTATCTTGTCTGGAAATGCACCATAGACCTGTGGCACTGATGATGGAATGATGATAGATGGACTGACTTGTGATACCTACACCCTAAGTCTTAAGTCACATAAAAGTTCATTTGAATTTCTTTGTGAATTATTGTTTCAAACTGTGACAACCAAGATTGTAATCTACCCCCTCTTTGAAAGATACAGCTTAGCCAAATTTATCAGTTCTATCATGCATTGAAGACCATGTGAGATGGGAAATCCAGAGCATGTGCACTCTGATCCACTGTCCTCAATCTTACCATGCTATGTCTGGCTTCTGACACAAGCATGCCACAATTTATACTTAAATGAGTGTGAGGAGCATTATGGATGACAAGAATCAGTTACAATAAATGTGTCACACCTTAGATACATGGATACATTTGGAGTGGCAAGGAGTTAGGGCAAAACAGTTCTGTTTGAAGCGTTAGAGGCCCAGCTCAGTTATTGATGCGTGCTCAATTTTCTTAATGAGGGCCATCACTCTGTGTGACAACAGCAGCACTACCAGCTGCACCAGTGGACGGGTGAACAGAACCACTCGACGTAAATAGAGGCGTCGTACTGTGTAGACTAAGTTATCAATACAGCTTAGAGGCTATCATGTGTTGGCTTCAAGACGAAGCTTTGGTTGTTGTTTAAGAAGACGTTTAGGGGGAAATTGGAGGAATGGGCAACTGGTACTTCTGTGGAATATGAGGTAATATCCCATGGAGCAGGGAAATGTCTCTGTTTGTCTAATGATTTAGATCATGTAGCTGGTTCATTAGGAGGTCGGTTTCCAGTTTTTTCGATCATCTGGAAGGATGCTTTCACAGTGCCTGGAGGAGTTTGGAGGCTTCTTCTCGATGCAAGGGTTTTTTAATGGATTGCCTAAGCATATTGGACCCCAATAAGGATTTTCTTTCAGTAACACGATCTTTAATGCTTGGTATATTAAAGTTCCTTTCCGCATATTTAAAATTTTGGCCAGTAACCGAGGGCATTCCTAGGATCGATCCTCATTGCTTCGTTTTGCAGTTTTCCAAGCCCTCCAAGCTTCCAGTCAGACACGAGTGCAAGTTACTGGCGCCCGCCCGCATAATCAACCAATGAACTAATTTATGCTGATACACCATTTTCACAATTTAACATTAGCACCATACCTGGGATGCAAAGCTGCCACAACTCTAAGTGCTCTCAGCCTTTCTTTGTATTGGCGACAAAGTCTCGTTACAACAGGTCCAAGTAGTGGAACCTCAAAGCCTAGATACCTGTATCTGCTTACATATTCTAGAAGAGACCCATCATGCAACTGGATCTGACGAACTGTGCCTCTCTGCCGAGGAGGACGCCTGTTGAGTATCTTTGTTTTATCCCCTGAGATTATTAACCCCAGGTCTTGACACGAGGCTAGTACATGATTACGAATGTTTTGAGTGTTGGAGAATCCGGTGGTGTGAATCATTATGTCATCAGCAAAACTAACCATATAATGATGGGGCTGGCTAGGCATGGCATTAAGTAAGGCATTAATCAAAATGTTGAAAAGGATGGTACTAAGCACACCTCCCTGTGGGGTTCCTAATTCAAAATCTTTAGTTACACTTCTATGTCCCTGGAACAACACAGACGACTTTCTGTTGGACAGGTAACCTTTAATCCAGCGGAGAAGCCATCCTCCAACATCCATTCTGGCAAGTTCACTAATGATTACATGTCGATTGGCTACATCAAAAGCGGATTTAAGGTCAAGGAACGTAGTGTATGAGCTGTCAGTGTGCAGAGTGAGAAAGGTGGTAATGCAATGATGCACACTCCTTGCATGAAGCCATGCAACCGGGGTGACAAGAATTCCTTAATTCTGTGCATAAGACGATTAAGAATCATCCTTTTGAATGTTTTACACAAGCAGCTAGTAAGGGATATTGGGCGAAATGAGTTTTGTTGATTGGGCTTCGGAATGGGAATAATGAGGCTATTGGTCCATGATTTAGGGAGCTCCCCAGTGACATAACTCATGTTATATAATTCAAGTAAAGGATTACCTGGTACTCGACACAGCAATCTGAGTATGTTGTAAGTAATACCATCCTCACCAGGCGACGTGGAGTTGCCCTAGTTAGTGCTGCATCAAGTTCATAATTAGTGAAAGGAATGTTGCAGTCATCTGCCTTGCTGAGCATAAAGCAAACAAGTCTCTCCCTTGCATCATATTTGTCCATTAATTTCGCCTGTGTGGTACTGGGAAGACTGTCATAGCTAGATGTAGCAGCCCAAGCACTGACTAACTCATTCGCCCTATGCATGGGATGAGGGTGCGCGATCTGCCCAGTTCTGTTACCCTTAATTCTATTTATGTCCCTCCATGCCCGGCTAAGTGGGGTGTGAGCATTGAGACCATTGACAAATTGTTCCCAGTCTGTTTGCCGCAGCTCTGTCATACGCTCTCTGGCAGCAGCAAGGACAGTTTGGAAGAGGCCCAGCATTTCAGGGGTACGATGGTTTCTATAGGCTAGGCCTAGTCTGCGAGCAGTACGTTTCAATGTTCGAAGTTTAGAATCATTGTAATAGGTATGTTTTTTATAAGACTTATGATTATTATGGAAGTCATTTGGATTTAGAGTAGTAGGAGGTTTCAGAGGCGGCTCTAAGAAGTTCTGAATACTGCTCACAAGGTCATTGTTAAAAGTCTCGACAGAGGTACACTCATAGAAATTATACCAGTCAGTCACATGTGCAACAAAGTCATCATGTTGATCAGGGGAAACATTAAGACGTTTCCGTTTGAAGACGAAGGATAAAGTAAAGAAATAGTGAGTTTCAAACAGTTTTTCAGTTTCGTCGTCTGCAATGGAGGCATTTTGTCGCGCACTCTTGCCTGACAAATATTTTTACTAATACAGTGCACCTGTTATTATTTTATTTGTCTGTTCATCACTATTACCACCTGGCTACAGATGTTTACAGACGGGATGTTCAAAGCTCCTGTAGTGCGACTTGCGGAGGAGGTGTCCAGGAGAGGTCTCACTACTTACTTATTCGTCAACACATTCTTCGCCAGGGATATATATGGATCCCACCTAACTTACAGTAGGTAACCAGGGGTTAACTCCGTTCTCCTCTCTCTCCCTCTCTCTCACCTCTCCCACCCTCTCCTCTCTCCCCCTCTTCCCCACTCTCTTTTTCCTCTCTCTTCTCCCCTCTCTTTCTCTCTCTCTCCCATGCACATTTTTCACAGTTTTTCAGGCGGTTTTCAGCCTCTTTTAATTCATATTTCTTATTCTAAATTACCAATGTTTGAATACATTAGTAAATATTTTTGCATATAACCCAACTCTAATGAGGCTTTAAACGCATCTGCACGAGAGGTTGACAAGGAGAGTACGAATACATAGTATTGAAAGGGCGATCTTAAGCTGAAGCAGACATGGTTACTGTACAGGCAAACAGTGTTAGCATAGAGTTAAAGTGGAATACTACAGGTTTTTCTCCTGGGACCTTTGTTGTTTACCAAACTCATATATGATACTCATATAGGAATGATCATTGTGAACAAATATTATTATTATTATTATTATTATTATTATTATTATTATTATTATTATTATTATGTGAGTAAATTACCTGCAGGAGGTTTACAAGACATCACCTGCAAGTAATTTGGGTGAGTTAAGTGGGACTTAGTCACAGCAGGTCACTGAACTGCAACTCCTTCGACTGCCCCCTTCCTCACTGCTTTCACAAAATGCTAAATCTAACATTGAATTAATAATTACAATATTAAAACCAGGTACTCTGGTAAAATTATAATTAGGGGGACTGTATAGGATTAGGCTTGCTTGCTGGGTCCAAAAAATATAACTATTAGTACAATACATAGAATCCAGTGGTGTTAATAGAAAAGAACTTTGTATTATCACTTACAATTTAATTGTTGTAGATGGATCACACCACAACACCTTGCTTAACACCTAGACCCTACACTGGCCAGCTAGTCATTTACATGCAAGGACTAACTTTGCACTTCCCTGTGAGTGATGTTGCATCCCTTATTTTTCGCCATACACACGTAATTCTTGAAGTCCCGCTAATTTCCTGTCCCATTTCTTCAACAGGGGACATTAACACGGGTTCCTATTACAAATCCAAGTCGAAACATATCAATTAGGCCTCCGAGAACGCCTGATTACAATGCACAATTCACATATTAAATTCAATATGGCCTCTACCCTACTGTCTGTTCTCCACCCCTCCCCCCCTCCCTCGAAATTTCTCGAAGAGTCCAAACAGCATCATATTTTATTACACAATTATCGTATTATTCGCTTGTATGTTCTACCTTTAGGAAATTATGATAAAAAGATTCCACAATCATCATCAGCAGCAGATTTACCTATAACTCCACCACAGTTACCATTACCACCATTAACACGACTATCACCACCACCTCTAACACAACCACCACTAACACGACCATCACAGCTACAAACTTCCTAACGCCCACAGGAGCCCTCCACGGAGCAGAGTTGGCGTACCTCTTCGCCCCGTCCTCCTACCGACTGATTTTCAACCTTCCACTCACCTACCACGAGGAGAGAGTGAGCCAAAACCTTAAGAGAATGGTGTTCACTTTCGCTAGTAGTGGGTAAGTACATCAGTGTTTCCTTTTGCTCGTTGTGAGTAAGTACCAAATGTGCTTCCTCTGGCCACTAATAGGTAGTTACCAGTAGCATTTACTTTCCTAACCAAAGGGAGGAACTGTGTTCAGTTTCGTCAGTAATGGGTAAGTACCATATGTGTTCACTTTCTTAAATAATGGCCTGAAAAAATAAAAGAAACCGTTGTTAAAAAAAACCAATTTTTTTCAGCATGTATTTAAAGTTTCTTACACTCTTTCTTTTGTGATCACCGTTCAGTATAACAGTGAAACCTAGCCATTAACTGGAAAAATTAAGAAAAGGTGATCACATCTATCATTTTGTCATACTTTTTGTGGGTTATCCCAGATTCTCTACACATATGCTGCTATGTATGATAATCTATGTAACTGTATTTATGTATACCTGAATAAACTTACTAATAATAACATCAGCAATAGTAATAAATGCAGTAATACTAATAATTTTAGTTGTAGTAGTAAAGTAGCATTTATATTAATAATAATAATTATTATTATTAATAAAACGAGAATATTGGTTTCAGGATCCCATTCTTGGGCCAATATTCACCCAGGTGGAGCCCATACTCTCCTCAGTCACCCATCTACGCCTCGCTGGAGTCTGGTCAGGTCCATCAAGGCTACCAGCAACACCAAGTAGCCTTCTGGAACTACCTGATGCCAGAATTGGCTCACATGGTGACCTCAGATCCCAATGCCAAGACTACTCAGTCCACTAGTACACATACCACGGCGCCTACCACAGAGTCGCAGAGTAAGTCGGGGCTAGGTTAATAACTAAGAAAAAGACTGGAAGTTTAAATCAACTAGCATTTTTTTTTTACTTAGTCTGCTAGTTTAAGGTACTCTACATTTGGATTTATCGTCGACTGAAGGCTTAAAGTACTCTACCCTTTATGAGTTTTAAGAGTACCAGTACGTCACCTGACGTGTACCTGTGTCTGTGTGTCTACCAGTGTCTTCCTGCCAACGTCTCAACTATCGATAATTTCCAATAAGTTATTTCCTCTTCTTGAAAGTTAAAAATACACAAGGCACCAGCAAGGACATTCGAGCAGTATTAATTAACATATATTTTTTGTCATGTAGACATTTTGTTTATAGAGTATCGTATACCTGGAGTATACCTGGACAGAGTTCCGGGGGGCAACGCCCGCGCTGCCCGGTCCGTGGCCAGGCCTCATAGTGGATCAGTCCCTGATCAACCAGGCTCTTACTGGTGGCCGCACGCAATCCAACGTACGAACCACAGCTCGGCTGGTCAGGTACTAACTTTAGGTGCCTGTTCAATGCCTGCTTGAAGACAGCCAGGGGTCTATTGGTAATCCCCCTTATGTAGGCTGGGAGGCAGTTGAACAGTC